ATCATGAGATATATAAAAATAATATACATGCTGTCAAAGAAGGAGGAAGATTTAATTTGCTAGTTGTTTTAACAAATTAGGTAGACGGAATTGAAAGATAATTATGGGATTTTATATCAATAACTTATATAACATTATTAAGTCCCAGGAATGTTGGTTCCTACTATAGTTATAGACATCATGAAATTTAGATACTAAATTATATGTTGTCAGGAGGAGTGGAAGTTGTAATTGCTAGTTTCGCTTTAGAAAACTAAACGAACTAGTATGGAGATGGTTTTGGCATTCAAATATAATGTGTTCAGTTTATACTTCTGTGTATCAATATATTATGCTCTGGAGTTATATTTGAGGATTAAATGACGTCATGAGATTTAAATATTAACATGCATGCCGTCAAGGAGATAGGAGGGTGTGTTTACTAGCCTTTGTTTCAGTAATTCAAACGGGCTAATATGGAAATATCGGTTGGGAATTTTAATATAATATGGTCAGTTTAGAATTCTAAAAATCATTATATCATGTTAAGGATGTTAATTGCTGAACTAATATACTTCATGTTCTGTCAATTATATGGGGAATGGATAGTTTAAATTGTTTATCATTACTCTAGCAATTTGAATGAATGTTCGTGATATTAATCATATACTGGATGTATAATAAAATCATGCAAGTATCTGATTTCTATTTTGTTTGTCTTTGGATGTATTTGATGTTCAATTGAGTGTGCATCATTTATGGATCATTTGCATTATATGTACCGGTATGGGACGGTGACATATCAGGGATGGATTAGATCAAAAAGCTAAGTCCTACCCCTTCATACCTATGGAATGGATTAACTAAAACAGTTAACTCCTACATGGATGCATGTCCTGTCAACTAAAACAGTTGAACGACATAATGGATGGTTGCTTTATTTTTTTTGTATTAGGAAGGATTTAAATATATACTTATGGTGCCGTGATACGAGCTTAAGTCTCCTGATCACGATTAGGGTGTGTATATCGCCTAGGATTGATACCAGGCCTGATGATGTTTCCCTGGTTGTTCTATTCGGGTTGAGACGGATTATGTGGGCTGGTGAACGTCCTATAGTGTGTATTTATATCTATATAGACTACTTTAGCTATGGTTGAGCTATCTAGGATGTATCTGCGTGTCGGGTTTATGTATGGATTATAATAGTATGAAACTTGCATGTGGGCCTGACCCACCCTTATTTTTCAGGTGTTTGACAGTACCAGGTTTAGAGCTTATTCGTGGGGATGCAGATATAGTCACTCACTCTTCCGACTAATCAGGATTTTCTTTCTGACTTTGGTTTTGGATTTTAATTCTGTAAAGTTTTATCAATTGGGATTATTAGGGGTCCACTAGTTAAATTCCCGAGTTGTACGAAATTAAAGGTTTAAATTTTATTAAACTTTTATTTGGAGGTTTTTCGTATTTAGATTTCTACTCAGCTTATTATTTATTTTCTTTTATTTCATTTTGTATTCCTACTTGTTTACATATTGACAGTTGATATCCCTTGGATCTGTGCTAGAACTTGATCACCTGTGGCTCTAGAATCGAGAGGTATCACAACTCAACAATGACTTTTGAAGGGGATGGTCTAATAATCAACTTACCTTGTGAGCAGGCGGTGCATAAATGATTATTTGGTAAGATGATTTTTTGATCCTTTAGTGGGTGTCCATGTGAATTTTTAATAATTAGACGCATCATTGTACTCCCTGGGTGACCAAGTCGATCATGCCAAAGCTTAAAAAGTTTTGGGTCACACGATTTTTTATGTATCATAACATTTGACTCAATTATTCTAATGGTTGTATAGTATAACCCAGAAGAGAAAACATGGAGTTTTTCTAATATCAGCTTTTTGCCTGAGGTAATGGAAGTAATGTAGAGATATTCCACATTTCTTTCATTTGCAGTCTCAATATGATACCCATTACGACGCAAGTCTTTAAAACTCAATAGATTTCTCCGAGATCTTGTAAAATATAAGGTATCACTGATTTGTAATCTTGTTCCATGTGATAAAATGATGTTGGCTCGTCCAGAGCCTTCAATCAAGTCGGTAGGACTTGATATGGTACTGACACTGGCGTCTGTCAGAGTTAAATGGGAAAAATATTTTTGATCTCGAAGGATTGTATGTGTTGTTGGAACTAGTCAGATTCATTCCTATTCATGCAAATTTCTTTATCAGAAAAGAAACTTTTGTAACAAAAGAAACTTTAATACAAATTAGAAAATAAAAACTTTAATACAAGGAAAATAAAAACATAATAGACAGAACATAAAAAGAAAATATGATTAATTGGTGTGGACATTTCCATCACCAATCAAGAAGTCTATCCTTCCATCACAGTCCTCAAAAAAATCTGATATATTCAGATTTGTGATGTTAACTGGCTCATTATTATCAATGAAATTCATTTCTAGATTTGTGATGTCAACTGGCTCATCATGATCAAGGAAATTCATTTCCTTTTGTTTCCCCTTTTCTTTCATTGAGGCTTGGTAAAGATCAGCCAGATGCTTAGGTGTACGACAAATGCTTTGTCAATGCCCTGTCATTCCACAACGGTAACAAGTATTATCATGTGACTTGGAAGGTTGAGCCACATCCTTCCCTTTTACCTGTTTCATTTCATTATGATCTCTCCTTTGAGGATATGGTGTGGATCTCTGATTGCGAAAATGTGAGGATTGATATCATTCACGGTAATAAGAATGATTTCTACCACGACCATATTCATTATTGTGGTAGTTATTTTTACCACGACCATATTCATTTCTACCACCACATCCACTTCCGCATCCACAACCACGGGATGAGACAACATATGTTTCAGCGTTCGGTGTAGATCCAGTTGGACGGGACTGATGGTTTTTTAACAAAAGCTCATTATTTTGCTCTGCCACAAGCAAACATGATGTCAGCTCTGAATATTTTTTAAATCTACGCTCTCGATATTGTTGTTGTAAGAGTACATTCGAGGCGTGAAATGTGGTGAATGTTTTTTTCCAATAAAAGTTTATCAGAAATAGTATCACCACATAATTTCAAAGTAGAGCTGATTTTAAATAAGACAGAGTTATATTCAGCAACAGTTTTTAAATCTTACAACCTCAGTTGCTGCCAATCAGCCCGGGCCTTTGGGAGGATCACTGTTTTTTGATGATCATATCTTTCTTTCAACTTGTTCCATAAACAAAGTGGATCTCTTTCAGTAAGGTATTCAGTTTTTAGTTCCTCACTAATATGGCGCCAGAGGAAAATCATGGCCTTTGTTTTATCTTATAATGATGCATCATTTTTTTCTTTAATTGTGTCTCCAAGGCTCATGGCATCCAAATGGATCTGAGCATCCAGAATCCATGATAAATAATTTTTGCCAGAAATATCTAGGGTCACGAATTCCAGCTTTGTCAAATTTGACATATTCAGAATAACTAGATGTGACAACAATATAAAAATATAATTTAGCATAGTATATAAATAAATGGAATGAAATGAAATAATAACATAATATAAATTATTTAAATAACAAAGTTGGTAAAACTAGCCATAGGGAATAAATTATTAAATAATAAAGACGGTAAAACCGATCATAAATTATTAAATAATAAAGGTGGTAAGACCAATCATAATTGATAGATCATTAAATAATAAAGGTGGTAGAACCGACTATAGTGTAAGCACATATATCATTTAAGTGAACAACTTTATTTTATGAACAATAATCCATAATTAAAATTTTCTTACCCTTTGGAGTCAGGAATACAATGTTTTTCGATAAAACAAACCAACCCAATAATCTATCAAAACTAATATCACAAAATAAATATATAATTGAGATAGAAAAAGGGAGAGAAAGCTTCTTCTTCAAATCTCAGATGGATCGAGCTCGTGCTGATAACGTATATAATATATATATATATATATATATATATATATATATATATATATATATAATAGTAATAATATTAGAGAGATGAAAAACCGAGAGAGAACGAAAGTGAGAGAGAAAAAGACTGCCTTTTCTTATTTTTATACACTATTAGTACACAAGGTACCTATTTATTGGCAAAATGTCGTGGGCACCAAGTATGGCCAAGCAGCTTACACCGTAAGCTTATCTCAAAGTCTTCCATTATCATTAAATGTGGACCCCACACTAAAATATATATAACATTTTCATCTTTCAACCATTTATAAATAAAAAAACTCCACAGCAGAAGACAGTGATTGTTTTCCATTTTATCAAATTTTCCCCTTTCTTTATTTTTTACAAGATAAACACTCAAATGAACAATGCTTGCAATGGATGTTATTGAATTCATATCCAGTTTTGTAGTTTATTGAATATTAGATTCAATAACTAATATCTTGGAGTTAGCAGCGAAATATTGTTAACAGTGATCTCATTGCTGTTTGTTTGCTAGTGCAATAAAAAAAAAAAAAAAAATACACTTTGTTGAGGTGTACTTTTTGTTAAAAGAATTAAAATAGAAAAGTGAGAAAAAGAGAGACAAGGACTCAAAAAGTATGAACCAAAAAAAAATGGATAAAAAGACTAGATATTCGACTTTTAGTCAAAGGAAAAATAATAATGAAGAGTGAAAAATAAAAATCAATAGAAGAAAGAGAAACTAAAAATAAAAAAATAAAAAAACTGAATTAATTAATTAAGAATTTCAGCACCATGCATGATACAAATTGAAACACCATGCAATATATGTAACATATTATATTATTATATTTTGTCCGATTGAATTGATTATAATTCATATTGGAATGGCAAAATGACATGAATATGATTTATAGACCATTCTACAACCAATCGTCTTAGTGACGTCTCTATATCAATAATATTGGGCTATTAATCCAACCCCACCATCTCACCTACGCAATGTGAGGAAGAGACAAGACCACAGACCCAATTCAGATTTGTTGGTGTAAGCCTCCTTGATGATGATGGGTTTTATGATCCAGTGACCAAGTGATCCAAGCCCACTTGTGGAAAGCAACATGTGCAGTCCTCTGAGCATGGCTGTGGCATATCCATGTGGCTTGACCAGGAGGGTATCTCTCTCCTATCCTGGTGGGCCACACCCATAGAACTAGGACCTGTTGCTGCATCCTTGAGTGGACCCCAGCAATCCAACTTATTATATTTTGAGATGTTTGAGTGGAAATAAACCCAAACCAAAGCCTCCTGTAATTCAGGGTACTTGTTGAACAATTTCTCGTCTCCATGGACAAAGGCCTTCAAAACCTGTTCATAAACATCTTCTTTCATTCATTTGATATATTATCTTTAATATTACTAAATTAGAAACTTAAGAAATTGAGCCAATGAGTTTTAATTCACATGCTATGATTTCTGAATGTTCTGAGTTCTGCTAGGAACATATTGAGATGTGTGTTTGCTTGAAATTTTAAAATAAAAATAAAGAAAAATAAGAAATTGATATAGAAATTACCACAGGAAGTTCTTTGTAGAAAATGAAGTATCTGAGACTAGCACACAGATCTAAAAGGAAATGACCACCACTTATGTGACAATGAACATGGAGAGACATTTTCCCTTTTACTTTTTTCCACTCTGCAATTACTTCATCTCTCTGTAACCTGTTGTACCACCCTTGTAACTGCAACAAAAACAAAAAAACAACAATTTCCCTTCTTTCTTAAAAAATTACTTTATCAACACAATAATCTCAGAAACAACATCTCTCTGTGTTTTTTTTTTTTTTTTGGGCATACCCATCAGGCATGGATGAACTTTTTTTTATAGCATATTAACTTTGCCCCTGAAATTACAAAAAAATGCATACTGCATTCTAAATGTTAAACCAAATAAAAATTCAAAATCTAATGGTATAATCCTTTTAGCGTATATAAACAAAACTTGGAGTTTTTTTACTTTTTAGGTAAGCACAAGTACACTCATTACTTCATGCGCTAAAGCCTAAAACCCATTCTCCTTTGAAAAACTATTTTCATGTAGGGCTAAAACGGTACCATGTTTTGGTGCACCAGCACGGAACACAATCCGGGTTCTGTGTTGAGTTTTGTGTTGCTGCATTAGAACAGCACGCTTTAATTTGGTGCATTTGGTGAGAAAGCTAAACTTTTCTGCACCTGTTATATTACATTATCTGTGCTATCAACCACTCAACCAATTATAACTTATCATGTAAGTAAAATTAATAAAATCATTTGGATAATATCACGTCATTAATACAATCGAAGCAATAAAGTATTTCTGGCCTTTGGGGCATATCCCCTCCACATCTTTGGAGAAGAGAGCTCATACCGAGTCAAGACTGGGTGAGAAATTACACTTGTTGAATAAAAAAAGGTTCAATCTTGTGAAACTGTAGCGTAGGTGAAAGCTAATTTGGTATTACATATATATATATATATATATATATATATGATGATGATGGTTGAAAGCAACCTGGAAATATATATATATGATGATTACCTGGGAGTTGTTTATGGTTTGAGAGATGGAGAGAGTGAGATTAGAGGTTGTATCACTGTGTGTAAGTGTATAGCTTCTTGGATTCTTCCCTGGATGCTTCTTTTCATCAACACCTACGAACATGACCTTCAGCTTTGAAGCATCAAAGATTGCTGGCCCAAATAACCTGGCAACCTGTACGTTCCAATCAAACATATATATATATATATATATATATATTGTAAGATTATTTATTTAATTGTGGCCCGCATGATTTGGACATGTGACATATTATTTGGTGGCTAAGTAAATAGATATTAATTAATATTATTTATTTATGGTCAACTTATAATTATTTTTTGGTAATTACTTATTGGAGAAGTGTTTTCCTTTCTTATTTCTTACTTTGATGGAAAGTAGAATTATGTTACTAATAGGAAAACTGGTCCTCTCTCTACCTTTATAAAAGTGCATATACTCCATCAATTATGTACAATTAATGATACAACACGTAAATGTTTTATGTGTACAAAAAGCTTGAGAAAGAAACCAGTTCCACCTTTACCTGTTGATCAGAGTTGCAGATTAGTTCGTGGTTAAAGGATCTAGAAGTTGGATTTAATTTCAATAAGGTTTGACATCATGAATCGAGGTATTTATATCTAACTATTTATTTATGCATTATAGATATGTGAAAATCATGAAGTTCTAAGATTATAAGATTCATGTTTATTTGTGATGAATGGTTTAACACGAATAATTATAGTTTACATGTGATATCAGAGTTAACGGTTTAGGAACTCATTATTTTTCATTAAAGTTGCATAAATAATATGTATAATTTTAAAATTAAATGATTTTATAATCCATTATTTTAGAATCGTATGTTTAGATCAGTCCGTGTGGTTTTTGGGTTTAGGTACCTCAATTTCTGAGCCAAAATTGAATTATGAAAGTTGGTTACTGATACATAGTTTACATATGTGTAATAGTACAAACGTATGCATAATGTGTGTAAGACAAACAACTTCAATGCTTTAGGTTACTGATTTTCGTGTATGACTAATAAAGAACATTGAATTAAAATAATAATAATAATAATAGCATTTGTCTTGCTATTGTTTTATAGAAACAGTAAGTTGTGAAAGAATTACAAAAACTCATTATTATAATTATTTAAAAATTAATAAATACATAAAGTTTGTGTATTTATTTATTTTATTAAAGAGATTTAAATTATTGTTATAAGTATTTGTCCAATGATTTGAAGATTCTGATTTTAATTTAAAATAAATTAAAATTAAAGTTATTGAATACATAAAATATATGTATTGATTTATTTATTTTAGGAATTTGAATTTCTAGAATAATTTGTGAGTTTAGAAATTTAATCTAATAAATTAGACATGCAAATAACTTGTTGTTTCGTACCCAAACATACATACATATTGTAGAATCAATTTTAAATTGATTCAATTATGATCTTTAAGTCCGAAAATAAAATAATATATTTTATTATGTATATAAAATAAAAAGATATTTTTTATGAAATTTCGGACTATTAAGTTTTTGAGATCGAAGTTGCTTAAACTTTAATTAACAATTATGAGTATGTGTGTATAATGTTAAATGGGTAAATTAATAATTAATTAATTACTACTTAATTTAATATTCATATTATGTGTGGGTTAGTAGCTACCAAAGTGGCCTAACCATAATGGTCGATGAATATTAATTTTAGTAGTAAATATAACTTAATGATGAATTAATTACTGTCTAATTTAATATTCATATTATGTGAAGATCGGTAGCTACTAAAGTAGCCCAATCATAATGATTGGTGAATATTAATTTTTGTAATAGACATAATTAATCATAAATTAATTACTATCTAATTTAATATTCATATTATGTAAAGGTTGGTGGCTACCAAAGTGGCCTAACCATAATAGTTGATGAATATTAATTTTAGTAGTAAACATAATTGCAATATTTCATGAATTATGATGCTTATAATTTTTTGTGATATTCATGAATATTGATTTTATTTAATTATGAGAAATAATTCCTCAAAGGGAATTGATTTTCAAGTGATTAAATAAAAATTAAAGGGTCTATGTATATTTTTTTTATTAGGTAAATATAGGATATCCAAAGGTAACTTATTTGTTTAATTAAATAATGCATCACCAATAAATGTATACATATAAATACATGTAAGCATCATTATTAGTATTTTATAGCTGCCACCCAAAGGGGTACTATAGTTATACATTGTATTTATATTTTATGTTATACATACGTGCTGTTAACTCAAAGCATTATTGTTGTTAAGATTTTATCTTATTATGTTTGTTTTATTACATCCCTTAATGCGCGTGCTACATCTGTTCTGATTCTCAATATGACTTTCTCATAATGAAATGAGTAAGTTGAGTTCAAAATTTAGATGTGTTAAATCTTGATTTAGCATTTTAAATTGAAAAACCTACTGTTATTACTGATAAAGACAGTGAGTGAGAAATTTTTTTCCATAAAGCTTGGGAGATATTGAACAGATTAAACATTATGGTTATGCGAATAATTGTTCTTCATAGTGATAGTGCTAAGGAATATTTGATTATAAGAATGTTTTCGTGTTGTAGATAAATATCTAAAACGAAAATTATTAATTGATATAACTACTATGGATTTTTTGGTGTACTCGTACCATGTATGATCGTATTTTTAGATGACTAATGTTGCTGCAAAATTGAGAACCTTATGGATGATTGTGAATGGGAATTTTCTTATTCAATTTATTCTCAATTTCTTGTCTATTCAGTATGGGTCATTTCGAATTAACACTATTAAAACAAGTGGAAAGTGATTTAATTGACCATTATGTTAATTTATGAGGAGACAAAACTTAAGTAGCAAGGTAATCATTATGTTCATCTGACGACTCAAGAAGTTAGAAAAAAATTTGGGAGTAAGTCAGAAAAGGCAATAAGTGAGCAACACTCAAAATTAAAAGATTTAGGTCAATCTACTAAAAGAAAGTAATGTAATAATAAAAAAGTGTCATTAACTTATTTGTGATGTCTGTATATAATTGTGTGTGTGTGGTGTGTGATTTAAATGAAAAAGAAAATGAGAAAAAGAAATTATAAAAGAAGTGGGACCCACATCACTTTTTAAGTGAATTGTGAGACCAAAATTGGTCTCTGCCTTTCTCTCTCTCTCCCGACAGACGCTCTCTGTTTCTCCTTCTTTTCTTTTCACTTCAAGCTTCCATTGTTGATTGCTCCTTCATCTTTTGTCGGATTGAGGTGCCGTTTAAGGCAAAACGAAGCTTGTGTCGAGCTCTACGCATACATACCAACAATTCCAGATTTGGTGCACCCTTTGAACTTCGAAATTTAGGACCCATTTTCTAAGGTTTGCTCATTTTTGAGGTAGGGGCATCTTAATCCACTCTCTTCTTGTTCCATTGTGAGTTATGCTCTTTTGTTGTGCTAGACATGCTAAATTTAAGAATTAATTGCTTCAATGAGGTGTAAGTGATGTTTAGAAAAAAATTCATGTCTTAGGGTTATGACTTGTCTATGTGAAAAGCATGTATAGATGATGGCTTTGTGGTGTTTTTTGTGAATTATACCTCTTTTATGTGCTAACATGCTTTACTTGGGGATTAATTGTGTTAATGATTATTTTAATGTTGTCTAGAGAAATGTATGTTTATGCACATGTGATGTATTATGTGAAAAGCTTGCCTATGTGTTGAGTTTATGTCTACTATGTGTAAACTTGCTGAAAATGATGTATGAGACCATGCTTAATTGTATTGTGCCAAAATTTCACATTGTCATGATATTGAGATTATATGTACATTCATGGACATGTCATTGAGATGCATGAAATGGGAGAATTTGTCTTGAAATGAAAATGAGGAATTTTTGGGAAATGATAGTTTTTGTGAAATGGTTTTGATAAACCCGGTCGCTGCGGGGTTACCAACGGGCCAGAGGTTAATATAGCCTAGAGGGGACTAAGGAGTCGCCCTAGTGTGGTTGAGCTAGTTGGGCCCCATAATGACGCCGCGAGATTACCAAGGGTCAGGGACACTAGCCAATCCTTCTCTCGTGTCGCGGCGGGGTTACCAAAGGGCGGGCTGTATTAACGTTTGAAAGTGATGGTTTTGAGAATGAAAATGGGGAGTGTCATTGACATGCATTGCATTTCATTGCATTGCATTGCATTGTTTATACTTGGAATTGAATTGTATGTTGTATTTGATCCCATACGTTGTATAATCCCTATCTCCCATTAGCCTATGCTTTGCTTGAATTCACAAGGACACAAGATTTGTATCTTAAGTGTCACCTACTGAGCATATAGCTCACCCTACTATTTATACATTTTTTTTCAGGTCTTGGAAAAGAACCGGTGGACGACAACCCACCTCAAGCTTGAGCGATACTAGAAGTTCACTTTTGTGTCTTTTGTATATCTCCCATTATTTTTGCAAAGCACTAAAAGTGTGAAGGTGTATATGTATATTTTGCAAAACTTTGTTATGTAATGTAATTAAGGTATTTGATGATATTTTGGATGTGAATTTGATAACGTGTAAACCTTATTGATGAATGGGGAGAGCAATACTAGGTTGAAGTATTATTGAGGTCATTTGATTGTGTATTATCATCTATTATTGCCGTGAATTCGGAATTTGAGCCGTGACAGGTTAAAAATGCAATTAAACAGGTTGTGATAGACCTATTTTTAGGAGAGGTTATGCCGAATTTTTTTAAAAAAAAGTATTAGTTTTGAGATGTTACAAATTTGGTATCAGAGCCAAGGTTCGAAAACCTTTAGGACGACGGGTAGAGGCCTACATAGAGTCGCATGGGATGTTGTTTGTATTGCTTACTTGACTACTTGCTACGTGGTATCTTATTTAAATGAGCATGCTTAACTGCCTATGTGCTTACTGTTTACTTGTTTATGTTAAAATGTTTCTTGCATAGTCTTGCATGCTAAGTGTTGTACGGTATTAATTCTTGTTGAGTCGTCCACAGTGGACCTTAGTGTCATGTTTCTGAATCGTTTTCTCATTTTATAGCACGATGTCACGGGGTGAGGAACCTAGAGAAGTTGGCCCTAGGCCAACAAGGGGTGATGTTGGTGAGAGCTCCAGCTCCAATCCGGAGGAGCTAAATGATGAGAACATGCTTCTTAGGGACTTGATTCCCCCAAGAGCTGTTCCCCCAAGAAGAGAGAATGTTGAAACACCCGTACCCGTAGAAGTGGGTGAAGGTTCTGTGGCACTAGAGTTTAATCGTTTGTTGCAAAATGTCGTGAGGGCAACGATTGCTGCTCAGTCGCAGTCGGCGCCACAACCTACAGTTCAAGTTGAGGAGACTCCAGCTCAGAAGCGTCTCAAGATCATTAAGGGGTTTTTTCAGCTGATGCCGGTTATGTTTGAGGGCAGTATGGATCCAATGGTAGCAGATGACTACTTGGATCAAGTTGAAACCCAACTAACTTCAATGGATGTGACAGAGGATCATCTAAAGATCATCCTAGCTACGTATAAGTTTGCTAAGGATGCTAAGGTTTGGTGGAAGTCAGTCACCAACCAGTACAAGATTGAAGAGATGAGCTGGGATAGGTTCAAGGAACTGTTCTATGAAAAGTACTTTCCACTTTCCAAAAGATGGGAGTTACAAGACCAGTTTCATAATCTTATTCAAGGGAACATGTCAGTGGCGGAGTATGAGAACAAGTTCACCTCACTCTCCCATTTTGCTCCAGAAGTGGTGAGAGATGAAGCTAACAAGACTCGGAAGTTTGTCTCGGGTCTTAATGATCGAATGAGGCCGTTGATCACGGCACAATTTATTAAGGTTTACTCTGAAGCAGTGGAAAGGGCTTTGATGCTGGAGGCTGACAATAGAGAGAAGGATGCAAGAAGAGAGCAATTGAAGCAAAAGAGGGGTGCAGGGCCATCCTCAGAGGGATCTTCTTAGAAAAGGAACAAGGGCAGTCCATCTCAGTTTCAGGGGCAACAGTCTACAAGATCTGCTCCTACCACTCCTATGCCAGCTGGACCTGACAGGAGTGCAGTTGTTTGTTATCAGTGTCAGCAGCCCGGACATTATAAGTCCAGTTGTCCGATGAGATCATCTTCAGTTTCGTCAGCTCCGAAGGCTTGTTATGGGTGTGGCCAGCAGGGTCACTTGATTCGTGATTGTCCGAGTCAGAGAGCAGGCACCATTAATGGCAGAGGGTCACAGCAGAGGCCGTCACAATCGGCTACAGTTCAGTCAGGTTTCAGACTACCACCACCACAGCCTACTATGTCTTCACAGGGTTCACGATCAGTTAGGAGGGATACTCCTACTATGTCAGTGCAGCAGTCAGGTATTCAGATTGGCAGTCCTCAGGCACAGGTACCACAGGGACGTGTTTTTGCACTGCCACAGACCGATGCATCTTCCGGACCGTCAGTTCTTCGAGGTATATTTCCAGTGTTTGGTTGTTGGGCCCGTGTTTTGTTTGACTCTAGTGCATCTCATTCTTTCATTTCATCATCATTTGCACTTGCATCGGGGTTAGAGGTTAGTTTCATGGATCGGGCGTTATATGTTGATACGCTAGTTGGGGTTTCAGTGTCATTGAGCCGAGTTGTGCGAGATTGCTCCATTGTGATAGCCGGGCGGACCTTTGTGTTTGACCTTATCCTCCTGGAGATGACTAGCTTTGATGTCATTCTTGGGATGGATTGGTTGGCTTCATTTCATGCCACGATCGACTGTTACAGAGGAAGGGTTACAGTTTGCACTCTCGAGGGAGACTGTTTCTTTTTCGTGGGAGATCAGAGTGATTTTCACATTTCATCATTTTATGGAGTTCGTGGACAAAGTCATGGTGATTATTTCTTAGCTAGTCTTCTAGCCGAAGAAGATGATGTCGTGGGAGAAGTTTATCCGGCGATTGTTTGTGATTTCTTGGATGTTTTTCCAGAAGATTTAATAGAGTTGCCTCCACACCGAGAAGTGGAGTTCACTATTGATTTGATGCATGGTACTGCGCCGATTTCTATGGCACCGTATCGTATGGCACCAGTTGAATTGGAAGAATTGAAGAGGCAGCTTGATGATTTGAGGATGAAAGGTTTCATCCGACCGAGTGTGTCACCGTGGAGCGCACCGGTCTTGTTTGCTAAGAAGAAAGATGGTTCGTTGAGGTTGTGCATTGATTATCAGAAGTTGAATCATGCCACCATCAAGAACAAGTATCCTTTGCCAAGGATAGATGATTTATTTGATCAGTTGAGGGGAGCCAGCTGTTTCTCAAAGATTGACTTGAGGTCTGGCTATTATCAGTTGCGGGTTAGGGATGAGGATATCCCGAAGATAGCATTCCGTACACGGTATGGACACTATGAGTTCCTTGTTATGCCTTTTGGCTTGACTAATGCGCCAGTGGCATTCATGGACTTGATAAACCGCGTCTTTCACGATTACGTGGACCAGTTTGTGGTAGTTTTCGTGGATGACATTCTTGTGTACTCACGGACTCGGGAAGATCACGAGGTCCATTTAAGTATTGTTTTACAGATTTTGCGGGAGCACCGATTGTATGCCAAATACGAGAAATGTGAGTTTTGGCTACAGGAGGTGAAGTTTTTGGGGCATGTTGTTTCAGAAGGTGGAGTATCAGTTGATCCATCAAAGGTTGAAGCAGTTTTAACCTGGGAGCGACCCAAGAATGTGTTTGAGATCCGCAGTTTTCTTGGTTTAGCGGGTTACTATAGGAGATTTGTGAAGGATTTCTCCCATTTGGCAGCTCCTATGACCCGTTTGACCCGAAAAGGGGTTAAGTTTGTCTGGAATGAGGCCCGTGAGTCATCCTTTCAGGAATTGAAAACAAGGTTGACTACGGCTCCAGTGTTGGTGATACCTGAGCGTGGCCTGGGTTATGTGATCTATTGTGATGCTTCACGTGATAGTTTAGGGTGTGTGTTGATGCAGGATGGTAGAGTAGTGGTTTATGGGTCTCGGCAGTTGAAGACTCACGAGTACAACTACCCTACTCATGATTTAGAATTAGCGGCAGTTGTATTTGCCTTGAAGTGTTGGAGACATTACTTGTATGGCGAGAGATTCGAGGTGTACTCGGATCATAAAAGTCTCAAGTACCTTTTCTCCCAAAAGGACTTGAACAATAGACAAAGAAGATGGGTTGAATTCTTGGAAGATTACAATTTTGACTTGCAGTATCATCCGGGCAAGGCGAATGTAGTAGCGGATGCTTTAAGCCGAAAATCTCGTGGAACTTTGGCCAGTTTAGCTATTCGGAAGTGGAAGATGCTTGAAGACCTAGCAGAGATGGGATTACAGTGTTTTGATGACGATGTTGACAATGAGCCAGCATTCTTGTTCAGTCTTGTGGCTCAGCCTACTCTTGTTGTACGAGTGATTGAGTCACAGAGACAGGACCCGGACTTAGATGCCATCCACGCTTTGATCTCAAGTGGTGAGATAGTGAAAGATTGGGCCTTGCATGCAGATGGGGGTCTACGGTTCAGGGGTTTGTTAGTGGTTCCCACGGTTTGTCGTGAGGACGTCTTACGGGAGTTTCACACTTCCCGCTTTGCAGTTCATCCAGGTAGTACCAAGATGTATCATAATTTAAGACGTCAGTATTGGTGGAACGGGATAAAGAAAGATGTTGCACAGTTTGTGGCTAGATGCCTTACCTGTCAGCAGGTGAAAGCCGAGCATCAGAGGCTAGCTGGTTTGTTGCAACCGTTACCTATAACGCAATGGAAATGGGAGCATATTACTATGGATTTTGTGACAGGTTTTCCAAGATCACGGAGGGGCAATGAGGCCGTATGGGTCATCATTGACAGATTGACCAAAACGGCTCACTTTTTGCCTATTAAGGCAACAGATGATGCAGAGAAGCTTGGTGTTCTTTATGTGAAGAAGATTGTAAGGTTGCATGGAGTTCCTGTAACCATTGTGTCAGATAGGGATGCTAAGTTCACTTCGAAGTTCTGGGAAGGACTTCAAGTAGCGTTTGGTTCAGCGTTGCATCTTAGTACGGCATTCCATCCACAGACGGACGGTCAGTCGGAGCGTACTATCCAGATTTTGGAGGATATGCTTCGGGCATGTGTACTTAATTTGGGAGGTAGTTGGGAAGATCACCTTCCACTTATTGAGTTTGCCTACAACAACAGTTATCAAGCGAGTATCCAGATGGCTCCATTTGAGGCGTTGTATGGTAGACCTTGTAGGTCTCCTGTTTGTTGGACTTAGGTAGGCGAGACAGCCGCCTTAGGACCCGACATTGTACTCGAGACTACTGAGAAGATTAAGTTGATAAGACAGAGGTTACTTACAGCTCAGAGCCGACAGAAGAGTTATGCGGATAAGCGGAGACGGCTGTTATCCTTTGAGGTGGGAGACCACGTTTTTCTACGGGTTTCTCCACGGAAGGGGTTGATGAGATTTGGGAAGAGTGGCAAGTTATTGCCACGATTTATTGGACCATTCGAGATTTTGGATCGGGTAGGAGAGGTTGCCTACAGGCTTGCTTTACCACCATAGATGGACAGAGTTCATAATGTCTTTCATGTATCGATCTTACGAAAGTACGAGCCGGATCCATCTCACATTTTGAGTTGGGTTGATGTGGACATTGATGAGGATGTTTCCTACGAGGAAGGACCAGTTCAGATTCTTGACACACAACAGAAGGTGTTGAGGAACAAGACGATACCAATGGTGAAAGTCCTTTGGAGACACCACGGAGTCGAGGAAGCTACTTGGGAGCTTGAACAGGAGGTTCGCTCCAAGTATCCAGCGTTGTTTTCTTCCTCAGGTATGTCTTGATTTCGAGGACGAAATTTTTTTAAAGTTGGGGAGAATGTGATGTCTGTATATAATTGTGTGTGTGTGGTGTGTGATTTAAATGAAAAAGAAAATGAGAAAAAGAAATTATAAAAGAAGTGGGACCCACATCACTTTTTAAGTGAATTATGAGACCAAAATTGGTCTCTGCCTTTCTCTCTCTCTCTCGACAGACGCTCTCTGCTTCTCCTTCTTTTCTTTTTTTCTTTTCTTTTCACTTCAAGCTTCCATTGTTGATTGCTCCTTCATCTTTTGTCGGATTGAGGTGCCGTTTAAGGCAAAACGAAGCTTGTGTCGAGCTCTACGCATACATACCAACAATTCCAGATTTGGTGCACCCTTTAAACTTCGAAATTTAGGACCCATTTTCTAGGGTTTGCTCATTTTTGAGGTAGGGGCATCTTAATCCACTCTCATCTTGTTCCATTGTGAGTTATGCTCTTTTGTTGTACTAGACATGCTAAATTTGAGAATTAATTGCTTCAATGAGGTGTAAGTGATGTTTAGAAAAAAATTCATGTCTTAGGGTTATGACTTGTCTATGTGAAAAGCATGTATAGATGATGGCTTTGTGGTGTTTTTTGTGAATTATACCTCTTTTATGTGCTAACATGCTTTACTTGGGGATTAATTGTGTTAATAGTTATTTTAATGTTGTCTAGAGAAATGTATGTTTATGCACATGTGATGTATTATGTTCAAAGCTTGCCTATGTGTTGAGTTTATGTCTACTATATGTAAACTTGCTGAAAGTGATGTATGAGACCATGCTTAATTGTATTGTGCCAAAATTTCACATTGTCATGATATTGAGATTATATGTACATTCATGGACATGTCATTGGGATGCATGAAATGGGAGAATTTGTCTTGAAATG